ACACACACACACACACACACACACACACACACACTGCGACAGCATGCTTTGTGTAGCAAAGGCTGCTCTTTCAGACACACCTTTTATTAGTGAAGCCGACACCACTCATGTTGACTCCAACATGGCACAAAAACACATACCACAGCAAACCCTTAACGGTCATTAAGCCAGCTAAGTTTTTTATGTACATCATTATTATAGTGAATGATAGGAAGGAGCTAATGTTAATATAGCACAGAGATCAGGAGGGTCTGCACTACATGACAGTAAACCTTTCTGCACCAAAGTCCTTTTCTTTCTGTTTCCACCTTTAGCACACATTTGTTTTAACTTCTTTAAAATACACTGAGAAAGTCTGGTTCATGATTCAATAACTCAAATGACACATTAGGGTGTCAACTCTGATTCAGTGGAAAATGTTGGAAAGTTAACCAAAAACGTGATGATGTGAAAGTGACAAATAACAGACTCAGACTGAGGGAAGGTCAAATGTGAACTTACAGTAAGCGGAAGCGAGCAGACCACGAAGATGACGGTGATGAGCGCCAGTAGCACCAGGTGGTCCATCTCCTCTTCGCCCTGTCCGAACCAGGCCAGGCTCGGCCTCTTCCTCCTCCCCGTCAACCCAAGTGAGCCGCGCCGTGTCTTGTGGCTCCGGTGCATCTGGCACAAGCTGACGATCACCGAACCGTTGCACACAAACACTGCAAAGATCAGCAGTGCCATGAGGGAAGAGTAGGACAGAGAGAAGGCCAGCAACAAGCGGTCCGGGTGGCCATGGTCCCCTTTGGCGTCCATGTCGATGAAGCACCACGTCCCAGGACAATACTGTCTGAATTTGCCGTAGCCGGTGAACGGCAGGAGGCAGAAGGCCAACGAGAAGAGGTAAATAAAGACAAGAGTGAATTTTGCAAAGTTGGGGCGAATGTGCACAGAGTAGAAGTAAGGGTGGCTGATGGCCAGGCAGCGCTCCACGGCCATGGCACACAGGACGAGCGTGGGCGCCAGGCCGAAGAAACTCATGGCAAAGCCAAAGAGGTTGCACAGGCTTTCTCCCCCCAGTCTGATCAGTGATATGTTCCGGGCATAGCAGATGAACACAGCCGGGCTGAGGATGCAGGTGCCCAGCAGATCGGTGAGAACCAGGCCTGTCACCAGGATGCAGAAGACAGACGACCGGGAGCGATGCTCTCTCTGGTGCACGCCGAGGATGAACAGAGCCAGGAGGTTTCCCACCACGCCGGCCAGAAACATGATGATGCTCGTCGCTGGCTTGCCATCGCCGTTCACGGTGAGAGTGTCATTGCAGGTGGTGTGGTGCCATGACTCGCTTGAATTCATGCTTTTATTCATGTCCAACCAACTTAAGAGGAAATGATGCCAGCTCAGTGTGGAATTTATAAAGAACTCACAGACAGCAGGGGGGAATCCTGACTTAATACCATCATATGGTAACCCAGACAGTAGGGACGCATGGTGAGACCCATGATGAGGCGTTGCCTTACAACATGGTTTCTTCCCCTGTCTCTCTGCCTCTTCCCTGGAGACAGTCTTAAATCTGTGAAATTAATAAGAGAAAAAAAGCCAGTTAACACTCACAATCTGTAACACACTTTACTTATCCCCATACATTTTACCTTTATTTTATAGACTATACAGATTTGATAGTTTTTCTTCTTTTTTTCCAATGTTTTAAATATCTTTACATTTGTTATAT